TTATATCCTGTGGCTTTTCATTTGTCCTCCAAAAACTTTTAGTTTTTTCACTTTTGCTCTGTATTCTCTATGTCTAAAACCAAAATAATCAGTTTTCTACTTCTGTCAGGGCTGAGACATTAAGACCAAGAAGGGAGAACTGATAAAAATGTGATGCTGGAATATAATGGTCTAAACATAGTTTTTTTCCCCCTAACAAACTGCATACTCTTATACATACTGCCTCTTCTCAGTCAGGTCATTACCCATGGGTGTCTGTTGCAGTCATATGAAAACACGTACCAAATTCACTAAATCCACCCACATACCTGCATTTGCAACCATGTAGTTTACCTTCTCTCCTGGCCATGACCTAGCAGAGGCCAAGTCCTCCACTCAGGCTCCAGGACTCATCTCCTTTCACCTGGTCTGGACTCCATCTCTTCTAACACCCCAGGATGTTGCTCCAGCAATACGCTGTCTTTCCTGAATCATCAGTTTTCTCATCTTCACTAGATCTTTCATCAGAATACCAATGTGGTATTTCTCTTAAAGATTTTTAAATCTTTCAATCCCACTTACTGTTCTAGCTCTATTTCCTCTCCTTTTTTTTTTTTTTTAGTAAAGTCCTTGAGAGGGTTGGCTACAATTGTTATCTCCAATTTTTACTCACTACGAAATCCACTCCAACCAGTCTACTGAAAGTGTGCTCTCAGCATCACCAGTGGCCTCCACGTTGTTAAATCTGAGGGTTAAGTCTCAGACATCTTACCTAGCATGCGATGGTTACTCTCCTCTCTGAGACACCGAGGCTTCCAGGCTGCCGCACTTTCCCACTTGGCTGGTTGTTCCCTCTGTCTTCACTGGTGTCTCCTCATCACCACAAACGTCACAGTAGAACAAGACCTTCAACTTTTCTGTCTGCCTTTATTCTCTTGATTTTTAAACGCCATTTATATGCTGGTGATCCCTAAACTTACATTCCTAGGCACAGCCTCGCCCCTAACTCCAGACTCCTGTAATGAAAACAAATTTTTTAATAACAGAAATGGTATAGGGGCTTTCCTGGTGGTCCAGTGGTTAGGAATATGCTTTCCAATGCAGGGGACACAGGGCTGACTGATGATCAGGGAACTGAGATTCCCACAATGCCACGGGGCAACTAAGTCTGGGAGCCACAACTACAAAGTCCATGTGCAGCAGCAAAGTCCTAGGGCAGCAACCCGCCTCCACCCCACCCTCCGCCCCCTGCCAAAATGCTATAAAGATGACTCCAGAGTGGGAACATCTGAGTCTAACAGATGCTGAAAGAACTTATCAGGCTCCCCTCATCTGACTAAAGCAAGAGCTTCATGAGAGTCAACTACATGCCCTCCCCGCCCCCCCGCCCACCCCTTTCCCCAGCAAGTCTCCCATCAGGGAAGTGACTTACTTCAGGCACTGGGACATTCCAAAAGAAAAAAAAAAAAATCATTTAAACAAGCCTCATCAGAACCTCCATCCTCGGAAGACTTACCCCTCCCTTGTGCCCGTGCCCTTTGTTAAGCTGGTATATAAACCTTTACCTTGTGCTGTTTGGGGAACTACTCTCTCTGTAGAAGTCCTCCTGCAGGCATAGTAAAAATTTATCCTGTTAATCTGCCATCAATTAATTTGCTGGCACTGGTAACCCGGTCCTAAATTGGTAGAGGACAAGTGTTTCCTCCCATCTGTAACTCACCACCTACTTGATATCTCAGTTTGGTTGAAAACAGACATCTCAGGCTCACTCTGTCCCAAACTGAACTCTGATCTTCAAATCTCTACTCGCTCCCACTGGCTGTTCTTTCCAGACACACCCGGGATCTACCACTTCTCACCAGCTCCCCGTCGCCACTTTCTTTCCCAGTCACAACCTTTTCTTGCCTGGGTTATGACAACAGACCCCTGACTGTTGTCTCTGATCTGGCCCTGCTCCACTCCGGGCTGCCTTCAGCACAGCAGACAGAAGGCTCTCGCTTGAATGATCAGATCACGTTTCTGCTCCCCATCCTGTCGCTGAAGTCCAGTCCTCACAGTGTCCACAGGCCCGGGAAGAGCTGCCTGTGCTCCCTCACCTCCTCTTGACTCCCTCCACCCCCCAGGACACCGGGCAGTCGCCCACGTCAGGGCCAGGTACCTGCCGTCCCCTCTCCTTTGAACAGCTTTATCAGCAAGTGCTCCTTCACCTCCAAGTTTTCCTGTTTTCAGTCTTCTTCTTTTATCAATGTTGACTCTGACCATTTTAATTATTTATTTACTTATTTATTTTGGCCATGCCACGAGACACTCGGAATCTCAGTTCCTCGACCAGGGATCGAACCCGTGTCCCCTGCAGTGGAACTGCAGGGTCCTAAGCACTAAACCAAGGAAGTCCCCAAGTTTTTCTTCAAATGTCATCTTCTCAGTGAGACCTTCCCTGACTAAGTGGTTTTAAAATGGCAGCATTTACACTCACTCCTGGGAAAGATTGAGGGCGGGAGGAGAAGGGGACGGTTGGATGGCATCACTGACTCAATGAACACGGGTTTGGGTAAACTCTGGGAGCTGGTGATGGACAGGGAGGCCTGGCGTGCTGCGGTTCACGGGGTCGCCAAGAGTTGGACATGACTGAGCAACTGAACTGAACACTCACTTCTCTCCTTTCACGCTGTTTTTCTCCATTGTACTTGCCACCACCTCATATCCTGTATAATTTATGGTTTGTTTCTCTCCACCAAGGCAGGGACTTTTGTTTTGCTCACTTTGTATTTCTAGACCCCGGAACAGTGCTTTCACGTAGTAAGCCCTCCATATTTGGGTGCAAGGTGAACAAATGAATGTGTGAGAAGTAGATCCCATTTGTGGGCTTGAAAGGGAAGTTCTGTGATGTCAATAAACCTTAATTTTGCACTTGACCTTCTCCTGTCCTTCCCCCTGGAAAACCCTGGTGATATACTGAGTGCAATGGTGGGCCCTGGGAGAAGAGCAGTGAATAAGGTAGAGCTATATCCTGCCTTCAGAGTTTAATTCTCCACCTTTTGGTTTTATCCTGTAATAGTGAATCTCTCTTTTACAGAAGACATGATGACCTGTCATTAGGAGCATAACTGTCCTCTGAGCGTCTTCACAGAGGTAAAAATGCTTGGTGATTCTTACTGCTCATATCTACCTTTGTGTTCAACCTGGTTTTCTGCTTCACCTAGGTCCCTTTAGTAATTTGGGGTTCACACCCAATAATTGGGGGTTCACACATGCTTTCTTGCTTTCCCAGCTTGGAAATCTTTTTCTTAATATCGAAAATGAAATACTTCTTCCTCCCAATTTTCCTGTATTTGTGAATATACAAAGTTGAGTTGCACAATAACATATGTCCTCCATATATAATGAGGTCTTTTGGCAATGTTTTCAATGTATCCTCTTTTTTTGCCACACTGTAACCTATAACATCTTGCTTAAGTGGACAATGTTATCCCTGAATTAAGACTATTGTAGTCCACTGGCACCCCCACTTCCTGCTCCAGGTCAGCTGTCGTATTATATTTAACATACATATGTATTGTAAATATAAATTCTACAATATTGGCTCTCTTAATTTGCTCTCTCACTCTTTGCCAACTGGAGTTCTCAGCTCTAATTATACTCCATGTAATCCTGAGGAGTACATGCTTGTTCTCAAGTGCCCTCACTACCCCATCAATCTAAATCTTATGCTTTCTTTACAGTCTGGCTAAAATATCCTTTCCTGAGGTATTTTTTTTGGCGGGGGTGAGGGGGGGACATCTTGATCCAACATCATTTCTTGATTCTAAATGCCTTAGCAACTCACATGAGATTTCATGATATGCTGTGTTTGTATATTGCTTGGATTTGCTTATAATCTCTGCTAATGTAATTTCCTTTTTCTTTAAAAAATGCCCACATTGTTTTAATATAAAAGGTAAAATCAGTAATTTGATAAGTGATTTAGGCATAAAGTTAACTTTTGAGATGTAAATGGTTAAGCAATTGTAAATTAATGGTCTAGATGGAAGCCTTGTACCATGGACTATGAATGTCTGTCCGGTATAAGACAGGTGGAATTGTTACTTACCTTATAGTTACATCCCAGATGCATAGGGCTTCCCAGGTGGCTCAATGGTTAAGAATCCACCTGCCAATGGATGAGAGGCAGGAGACTCAGGTTCAATCCCTGGATCAGGAAGATACACTGGAGGAGGAGATGGCAACCCACTCCAGTATTCTTGCTGGGGAAATCCCATGGACAGCCTGGTGGGCTACAGTCCATAGAGTGGGCAGAATCCGATACGACTGAGCACACACGCACTCAGATGCATAACTTGCTTTTGCTCTATTATCATTTATTCATGCTTTTATTTGGGCACATGATTGTTTTCTGTCTTTTGATTTACTCACTCCAGTATTCTTGCCTGGAGAATTCCATGGACAGAGGAGCACGGCAAGCTACAGTCCATGGGATCGCAGAGTCGGACACTACTGTGCGACTTTTAAGTTTCATACTTGAATATGTGAGGAACGGAATGGTGACTTAGGAAAGGCGGTAGATCAATGGGTTAAATGACTGTTCTAGTCTCTAGGAACACAAAGCGAGCGACTAGTTATTAAAAATCTTAGTCATTTAAAAATTAAATAAAATACTAAAAGCATGATTCCGTTAGACTTTAAACTCGAGCTCATAAGTGACCGTCTTCCCCGCTCCGCACGTGAACTCTCAATATGGAATCTCAGTTTATGTGGGTGAGGGGGTTACTTTGCCCTAAAGCTGCATCCTATTAAAAAAAAATCGGAATAACCTTCACTGCCAGATAAATCAAAAGGGGTGACTATATCCTAAGTGAAATATTCCTAACTCCTCTGGGTCGAGACAGGCTCACCCCATTATCTTTTTTTTTTAATACTTGAAAAATGCTGGAATCGTAATACTTTGTAGAGAAGTTAGCGCGAGGGACGTGAACGGCACGCATCCTTGATAAATGATTTTCAACGCTGACACGTGCTTGGCACTACAAACACTGGAAAGGGTCTGAACAGGGCGCTCTGAATGAGGAATTTGAAATAATCGTGACTTCTCTCTTTCCCAGGGTTTCTAAGGCTATGGGCACTGCGGGATCCACTAGCCAAAGTCCAGCGGGACGTGGGACCCGAGTCGGGCCAAGCGGCCGAGGGGCGGCAGCAGACAAAAGTAGCGGGCAGGGCGCTCCGCTCGGCTCGGGGGACGGCGCACCGGCCCTGCCGCAGCGCGGGAGGCTCGCTGCTCCTCGCCCGAGACTAGCCCGGCTGGAGCTGGGGCCGTAGAGGGCGTCTGGCCCGCAGACGGGGCGCTGCGGGCCCTCACGTCCGGCGCCTCCCGCCCGCCGGCCCGGGGCCTCCGCTGCGCGCGCGGTGAAAAAGAGCGCGGCGGTTGAAACCGTTACCACCCCCGAGTTTTGAACTGGTTCAAACTTGGCTTTCGGCCCCGCCCCGCCCCTCCGGCCCGGGAACACAGAGGCGGCGGTTCCCGCCAAGCGCCGCGAGCGCGCCGTCCCGCCCTCCGGCCGGTTCCCGCCACCCCGCCCAGCCCGCCTTCCCGCCCGCGGTTCGGGGAATCGGGCTCTGGAGGCCCTTCTTCCTCGAGCGCCGGACCCGCCGCCTTCCTGAGAGGCGCCGGGCTTTCGGCGAAAAGAACAAAGAGCCGGCCCGGCGCTTCCACTCGGGCGGCAGCGTCCCTCAGCGCCTGCCCGCCCGCGCGCACGCGCCGCCGGCCCGGCCCGGCCGAGTCCCGCGGGCGCCTCTGCGTGGGGCTGGCTCGGCGCCTCCGAGCCCGGCGGGCCCTGTGATTGGACGGGAGCCCGCCTCGCGTCCCGCCAATCGGGGCGGCGCTTGGTTGGACAGGGGGGGCCAAATAAAAGCGATGGCGATTGGGCTGCCTGGTTTGGCGCTCGGTCCGGGAGCGTCCGACACCCACTGGGACGCAGAAGGCGGTGGAGCCCCGGCGGCGGCGGAGGCGGCGGTGGCGGCGGCGCGCGGCAGCGGCGCGCGGGAGCGGCGCGGGCTGGGGCGCGGGGCGCAGGTAACGCGCCGCTGTCGGGCCGGCCGCTCGGCCGGGCTCCGGAGCTCGGCGTGGGGCGGCGGCGGCGGGACATCCCCGCTGCCGCTCAGCCGGTCCGGATAATTCCCCCCACCCCCGAGCGGGCTTTCCCGGGGTTTCTCTGGGACTCGTGGGGGGTGAGAAGAGACCGCCCCTCACCCCCTTCGGAAGGGGCTGTGGGTCCGGGCCGACCCGCGCGACCCCCGCGGGCGGGCTGTGTGGGAGCCGGAGAAACCTGAGGCGGGAGCCCGGGCGGGCGCCGAGCGGAGGGTGGGGGGTGGTCCCCTCGCGCGCCAGCCCCTCCCGAGGCGCCGGGGCCGGGCTGGGGGCGCTCCGGTGCCCGGGGCGGGCCGGCCGCCCGAGCCCCGGTCTCCTTTGTGTGGAGCGGCGCGGCGGCGGGAGCGCCCGGGTGGGACGGGACGCACACAAGTTGATGGGACCTCGGCGCCGAGTGCGTACTCACAGACAAAGGACGGACTGTGTCTCGGGGGAGCTCGGCGCGAGTCAGGGGCAGTGACACCGGGGCCTGACAGCGGGCGGGAGAGGGGGCGTGGGGAGCGGGCGGGCGGGCTCGGCCCCACGCCCCCTCCCCGCGAGCGCGCAGGCTCGGCCCGGGGCCGCGGGGGCCGGGACGGCGCGCGGAGACCGGACTCGGGCGGCCGCGCTTGCTGACATTTCCGCAGAAAGCCGCCCCGGAGCCCCGCGTCCCCGAGCCCCGCTCGGACCAGGCGGTCCCCGGCCGCCTCCGTCTTCTCGGCGGGGCTCTTGTTTAAGTTTAAGGCAAGGGTTGCGCTGTTCTCCCCCCTTCGCCGACCTCCCCGGTTTTGTTCGTTACGGAGGGCTTTCTGTCGAGTTCCCGCGTCCTTGTGGGTCCCCCACCCCATCTCCGCCCCCCCCCCCCCAAAGTCGGTGCCGCAGGGTCACTTTGTGAAGAACGGGAGGGATGGAGAAGCGCGGTATTTTGGAAAACTTCGTGAACTCACGCCTGGTGAATCCCCACTTTCTGAAGAAATCATCATCTTACCAAAAAAAACCCCCAAAACTGTCCAGGCTGTTTTGGCCAACTCGTGTGATACAATTGATACTGGCGACAGGTGCTAACGAAATCAGCTGTCATTTAGTGAGGAGCGATTGTTCCCCAAATCCCTAGGGGATGAACGGGGAAGAGATGGTAGAAAGAGTTGGTCCAAAGAAAACGCTTATGCTAAACGTGTGTTTGGATGGTATGGTTAGCAGTTTCTCATTAATTGGACTTGTTTTCCGTGAACAATAGCTTTGTTGAGTCAGAAAAGACTGGCTGCAGAAATGTTTGTTGCCTAAGAAATCGAACGTGTGCTGTCCGCAGTTAAGCTAAACTTCCTTTGTTTGTCGCACAGGATCTGTAAAATTTTAATTCATTTGGAAATAAAGATGTCTTTGGTATTTAAAAATGTTTTAAATGCTGCAGGGTTTGCTTGCTGGGTTTTAAAGGTCGTTGTCAGCTTAATTTTGTGGCGTTTCAGTGTCACATAAAACAACATTTAAAACAACAGTTTAAAAAAGCTTTTAAAAAACACTAATGCTAACACAGGTGAATGTAGTCTGTACTTCTAGGGGGGTTTGAGATCGAGCGGGTGGGATACTAACCCTTAGATCACCAGGGAGCTGGGGGCGGGGGTGGTTGTGGAGTTTATTTTCTATTACTCTTTATTCATGACCATTAGCAACTATTTTATGTTTGGAGATAAAATGTAGAGCAAGTGTGTAAACCTAACTGTTGATCATTTTATTTGCAAGAAAACGAAAGTATTCAAGATAATTTTAATTTCCTTTTCCTATTCCCTAAAGTTAGGAATAGATGGGGTTTTAGTCTTAGATATAAAGAATCCTGTTCTCTTTTTGGAGATGTGTTAGAGAATGTAATGTTTAAAGTCCTGGAAACGCTTAGGAAAATGGCATCTTAAATAGTAATTTTTGTGAAAAGTGAACATATTCAAAGGAACGAAATTTAGAAACACTTAGGCACTCTTCCTATTTGCATTGTTTTATCTGTTGATTTAATGTGCAGCCTTCTATCTTACGGTTTCAAAAAAATGGAGACAAAGAAATGCAGTCTAAAAGTATTACACATTTTCAGTGTTCGACATCACTGAACTGACATTCCAGGTGCTGTTCCTAAGTATTGTCTACATTTATATTAGTTGTTGGTAATTATATGTTAAAAAGTCCTGTTGATAATCTTGCCCATTGTTATGAGATGAGCTAGTTACGCAGATTTTGGCAGAAATTTGAATCTTTTAGGATACAGAATTCCAGTTTTTCCCATCTTGTGTACATTATATTTGATAATTACTGTCTTTGTACTTGCCACAAGATTTTGTTTGAAAAGTTTTTTGGGGGAATTGGTTTTAAATTCTTTGTGTTTGAATTGAGAATGTATTTAGTTTAAGTAGCAGTGATAAAAAACCACACTTGTTGATTTAGTGTAGTCAAAGAAAAAAGCTCAAATCCGTTTATACCAGCTTTGCCTTGCATGCATACATAAAATTGGTTATCTTTGTGTTGACCGCTAAAAATGTGTAGGCAGATTTCCCCAGGTTACATGGGGTTTTCCAGGATATCCCCCATCCTTTGAGCTGGCATGATCCAGGAGTCTGAATTAGTTTCTCGCTTGGCCTAAAGAAGTGATTAAGAAAGTTGATCTGCTTTTAAAAAACTAACAGCAAGGAAAAGTCCTCTGACGATCTAATGCATTCTGGGGACGGTTGGAAATGATTTATGGGTCTGCCTTGCAGTCTTTATGTCTGTACAGATGAAGAAAACATTTTCTGTGAATGATGAAGAAATTCTACGTGGGCAGGTGAAATGTGCAGTTTGGGGAGAGCAGGAGAAGAACAGCTTATTAGGTTCGGAGAAAGCTTCACCTGCTGGAGGCCCTCCGCGTCTCTGAAGGGCTTGGTTGGTACCTTTGCTGTAGCCTGTATCCAGTTGCAGTCACTTGCTGGTGCGTCCCCCCCTTCACTCTGAAGTGCCTTCAGGCAGGGGCTCTCTCTCAGTTTTCTCTGCGCACCTGAGTTGCTAGAGAGCAGGGATTAATAGTTGAATGAATAAAGGAAATCCTGAAAATGTAGGGAAATGTTTTGACAAAGCAACTTGCAAAGCGAACAGGATATATTCATGTTGTGAAGACCTTTGGAAGGTATTTTTCTCCCTGACTGGCAGTGGTTACAACGAAAAATAGTTATCAAGGTGTACAAGTTCCATGGTTTCTCCTAGTTATTAACACTCTAAGATACTGAAAATTGGATATGCTTTAGATGTGACTGTTGGTTTTCGTATTTGATATTTCAGGCAGCCAGAGAGAAGCTTGATGGATCATCTGGATACACCTGGCATATAGTGTCTGCTTACTTTGTGTTGAAATTGATCGAGTTGTACCGAAATTTAGGGGATGAATACATCTTTTAATCAAAAGGGGTTTAGTTACCATTAATGAATTCTTGGTTGGAATAACTTGAGCTAGGTTTTGAAGCTAAACCTGAAGAAAGTAGTGTTAGTGTAATTACAGATTATTTATTGGGATGCTCTTCATCATTCTTTTAAGATGATAAATGTAGTTGTAAATCCAATAATATCTCAAAAGGCATAGCTGATAAATATGTAAGATGGTTGTACTGTTTTTGTCTTGCCATTGCCCTGCTATGTGGTGCAAAAATATGATAAAACGAAGTGAAAAAAAAGACATTAATATTAAAGAGCCTACTGTTTGCCAGATGCTTCATTCGTTTGCTTGGTTTGTTTTTTATTTGTGGTAACATTCACATCAGATGCTTTGTTTTTGATTCTTGTGAAAACCACCTTGCACCCATCATCAGAGGTTTGGAAAAACCGAAACATGTCATATACATGCAATGGAATGTTCAACTATTGAAGGAATGACATATTGACACATACTATAACACAGGTGAAACTTGAAAATGTTATGTTAAGGAGAAGACGCCAGACACAGAAGGAAACAATTTTATGATTCCATTTATAGGAGGGAGCTAGAACAGGCAAATTCACAGAGACAGAAGGTGGAACAAGAGGTTACCAGGGACTAAAAGGGAGAGGGGAATGGGAAGTTAGTGTTTAATTGGGACAGAGCTGCTATTTGGAAGGTGAAAAAAGCTCTGGACATGGAAGGTCAATGTTTTGATTGTGTTTAATGCCACTGAATTATGTGTTTAAAAATGGTTAACATGGTAAATTTTATGTATATTTTACAATTAAAAGAACTTTAACAACAGCACACTCTGCAAACATTTACAGATAAGTAAGCTTTGGTGTAGAGGGTTAAGAATTTGCCCAGGATTATCAGCTAGGAATTTGCAGGCAGGATCCAAACTTAGATTCTGTTTGGCTCCTATTATCAGCTTCATGTTATCTACTTGTCTTCTGGATGATTGAAGAGGCATGGGTTCCAAGAAGAATGAGTTTATTTGAATCAATCAAAATTATATTTAAAAGTAGATAAATTGTAGTTCAGATTGAACTGAACTGAATTGTAGTTTTATGGGATCTATGTTCCAGACTAAGAGATGTCTTTGTGGATTTTTTTTTTCAGCCAGAATTGTAATAGTGTGCACTCTAGGGGGAGGACACGGGAGCTTTGAGTGTGGTCTTTGAGTCACATTGTCCTTGAAGTGTAAGTTCCCTGTCTGTAAATTGGTGTCTTAATGATAAGCATTCATTCCATAAGGTTGTGGAGAGGATTAAATAAATTAATAATGTGAAGCCCTTGGAACTACACCTGGCACAAATTGTTTAATAAGTGATTCTTAGTAACTGTGCCAGTATTGTTTTTTAAAGACTAGATGTACTTTCTCATTCATGGAACTAAACACTTGCCAAACTTAAATATCTGTATATAAAGAAAATGGTGCCACATATGATTTATCTGTTTACTTCTAAACAGTACTGTCTGCTGTTTAAAAAAACAGACAATATGTATTCAATTTAAAATACTGAAATAATTTAGATGTTTATAAAGTGAAATTTTCTTCATCCCTGTAACCCCATTCTGTCTCCCTTAAC